GGATCACTTGAGTTCAGGAGTTCAAGACCAGTCTGGCCAAATTGGTGAAACCTGTCTCTACTAAAAACACAAAAATTAGCTGGAAATTGCTTGAACCCAGGAGGTGGAGATTGCAGTGAGCCGAGATTGTGCCACAGCACTCCAGCCTGGGTAACAGAGCAAGTCTCTGTCTCAAAAAAAAAAAAAAAAAAAAAAAAGTGTATTTGTAAAACCCAAGATAATCAACAATACAATGAAATCAAACGACGAGGAAGTTAAGTAAGGTAGTAGGATATAAAATTAACACACAAAAATCAATAAAGAAAACTTCAACTTACAATAGCAAGACAAAAGGCTCAATCTTTGTAATCAACTAACAAGAAACATAAAATCTAAATTTTAAAACATTTCTAAAGTTGGGTACAGTGGCTCTTGCTTGTAATCCCAGTTGCTAGGGAGGCTGAGACCCCTGGTAATCACTTGAGCCCAAGAGTTGAGGCTGTAGTGAGCTATGATCATGCCACTGAACTCCAGCCTGGGCAACAGAGCAGGACCCCATATCAAAACAAAAAAGAACAAAAAAATCAAAAACACTCCTAAAAAACACAAAAGCAGATCTGACTAGATGGAAACACATCCATAAAGTGTATGCATATGTATTTGCCTATGTATGTATATGCATTTGTGTGAATAAATACATTTAGTGTGACCCAAATAAAAATGCTAACAAGTTTTTTTCTCTAGAACTAATAAAGGTGATTCCTAAATTCACATAGAAAAATAAATGCGCAACTATACCTATGAAGTTTTGCAAGAAAAAAAATGAGGAGGACTAGCTCTCTACCACACATTAAAATATACCATAAAGCCTCTATAATTAAAATAGTATGCTCTGGTACATGAATAGAAAGACGAGCAGTGAGCTGAGATCACACCACTGCACCCTAGCCTGGGTGACAGAACAAGACCCCATTCTTAAAAAAACAAAAAAGAAAGAAAAAAAAGAAAATCCAGAAATAGACTCATAGACATATAAAAATTAGGTATATGATGAAGATGGTTTCTTAAGTTTGGGGAAAAGATGGACTTTTCAAATAAATGTTACAGGTTGGATATCCTTTATGCTTGGGACCAGAAGTGTTTTGAATTCCAGACTCTTCCAGATTTTGGAATATTTGCATTATACTTAGCAGTTGAGCATCCCTGATCTGAAGCTCTGAAATCTGAAGTGCTCCAATGAGTCTTTCCTTTGAGCATGACCTCTGAGTGTCATGTCAGCTCTCAAAAAGTTTCATTTTGGGCCGGGCACGGTGGCTCACACCTGTAATCCCAGCACTTTGGGAGGCCGAGGCAGGTGGATCACAAGGTCAGGAGATCGTAGCCATCCTGGTTAACCCGGTGAAACCCCATCTACTAAAAATACAAAAAGAAATTAGCCGGGCATGGTGGTGGGCACCTGTAGTCCCAGCTACTTGGGAGGCTGAGGCAGGAGAATGGCATGAACCCGGGAGACGGAGCTTGCAGTGAGCTGAGATCATGCCACTGCACTCCGGCCTAGGCGACAGAGCAAGACTCCGCCTCAAAAAAAAAAAAAAAAAAGTTTCAGATTTTGGAGCATTTCAAATTTTGGATTAGGGACACTCAACTTGTATTATGAACAACTAGATAGACATGATACAAAAAGATAAACATGATTCGTACTTCAGAATAAGCTTAAATTGTTAAAAGATTCAAATGTAAAAAAAATTAAAACAAGTTTTAGAACAAAGCATGAATAATTTTTTTCATAACCTGGCTGTGACAAAAATCTTTCAAACTTTGACTAAAAGTACGTATTTAATAAAACACTGATAAAATCTTCTGTTTAGAACAAAAATTCCACATTTACATGTCAAAAAACACCATAAGTCAAAAGCACAAACTGGGAAACAATATTTCTAACGTATCACAGATAAAGAATTAATCTCTCTAATATATAAGAACTCTAAAAAAATTTTTAAAACTCTAAAACTCGAGAGAAGACCAAAAATCGTGACCAAAAAAGGACAAAATGCATGAACAGATAGTTCTCAAATAAATGACTCTTAAATGTAAAAATATACTCAACCTCGCTTATAAGAGAAATAAAAATTAAAACCACATTCACATATCATGTTTTACCAATCACACCAGAAAAAATTTAAAAGCTTGGTAATAAATTTTGTTGGTGAGGCTGTAGGGGAAACAGGTACTCTAATACACTGCTGGTGGGAATGCGAAACGGTGAAATCTCAAAGGAGGGGAATTTGGCTATTTCTAACAAAACTACACATGTATTTACCCTTTAATGCAACAACTTCACTCTAGGAACTTACTCTGATAGGAAAAAATACACACAGTTATTCAGTTGTAATAGCACAATTTCGGAAACAACAACTGAAATGTCCACACATATAAGTCTTGTTGGCCAGGTGTGGTGGCTCACGCGTGTAATCCCTCTGGGAGGCCGAGGCAGGCAGATCACCTGAGGTCAGGAGTTGGAGATCAGCCTGGCCAACATGGTGAAATCCCATCTCTAATAAAAATACAAAAAAACTATCCAGGCATGGTGACAGGAGCCTATAATCCCAGCTTCTTGGGAGGCGAAGGCAGGAGAATCGCTTGAACCCAGGAGGTGGAGGTTGAGGTTACAGTGAGACAAGATCGTGCCACTGCACTTCAGTCTGGGCTACAGAGCACAGAGTAAGACTCTGTCTCAAAAAAAAAAAAAAAAAAAAAGAGTCTTGTTGATTAAACTATAATTCTTCTACACAATGAATGTATGGTTTAAAAAATGAAGATGTCTGTGAATCCATATTAAGTGATTTCCAAGACATATTAAGTAAAAAAGCAAAGGATTACGTAATATACCCTTCTTTTTTGTAAGGAAGAATGGGAAATAAGAATGTGTGTGTATGTTCATTTTGGTAAAAAGAAATAGAAAAAAATAAACCTGAAATGTGTTACTTTGGGGATGGGTGAAAATGGGACGGAAGAGACAGGAAAGATACTGAGAATGTATCCTTATTCACTTCCTATACCTTGAGTATAACTTTTTGAATAGTTTTAACTTTTGAGCTATGTTAATGCTTTACAGATTTAAAAATAAGTTTAATCAACAAAGATAGAAAAATAAAGTCCTAAAGTTGAATACAAATAGAAACAAATCTAATTATATATGAAATTACAGAAAAAATAATTCAGATAATTTTTGAATACAGTACACAGTGGGTCATAGGCTAAGGACTAAAACAAATCCAAAGAAATATTCAATTTTATTTAGCAGGTTTGTTATTGGTAGAAATACGAGTGTAATTCTAAAACTATCTTATATTTATTGTAGAATAAAACAAATAAGTAAATATATTGAAGTTGTTGCTGGGAACTAGGGTTCTCCCTACAGGAAAGGAAGATATAAATGTGGAAAGGAGGAAGATTCCTATGGTATTGAGTTGAAACTAGACTGAGTGCTCTTATGCTGAGGAAGACATGTCAAAAAGCCACAGGAAAAAAAGTTTTATCTGTTCCCATTTGTACTTTCAATTTAGTACATGTCTGCTGCAACTTACTTGAATATAAAATATAGCAATGTGAAATTATTTTTTAAAAAAAAGCCACAGGAGACAGCTTGAAGGGGCTCCCACTGACCACATTTGGGAAAACGTTAAGTATCATAAAGAATAATGGTAATACCAAATATAGAAGCCCATAATGATACTCTCATATTTTTATAACAGAGGGAAAACAATTAGCAACTGGTGAATCTAGATGAAGAGTATGCTGGTGTTTAATGGACCACTCCTTCTGCTTTTCTGTAAAGTTTGAAATCATTCAAAGCAAAAAAGAGAGCAAACAAAACCAAACAATGAGATTCCACTTTAATATGGAAAATGTTAGAAAGCTAGAAAAAGCGAAGGCAGCAATGCAGAGATATAGGAATGCTGAAGTACTACGGGTGGGAATGTGTGCTGGTACAGCCATTCTGGAGCTTAAACTGGGCACTACTGAGTCAAATTAAATTAATATATGCATATACTATGACTTGGCAATTCTACTTCTGGGTATATATCTGTGGTAGTTGTTAATACTTTTTACCAAATATTTCTAGCTTTGCACCTTCTAGGTACGTGGTGAGATTACATTTCCTCACCCTCTTGAAAGGTATAGGTGGTTTTGTGGAAAGTGATTTGACTAATAAAATATAAATAGATAAAATATGCCCTTTTCCCACTGAAGCAGTAATCATGAAAGCTTTTATCAGGATGAAATCTCCATCAATCTGCATCCCTTGAGTGACTATGATGAGCTGAGTGGCTCCGCTGATTTGGGTTGAACATGTAATAAGAGTGAAAAATAAATATTGACTGTGTTGGTTAAAAAATGGACAAATGATACCTAGTTTACAGGATCACTGTAATAATTCCCAAAGATAATGCAGGTCAAGTTTCCAGTATACTGACTGACGTAGTATGTGCTCAGTAAATGCTGGTTCTCTCCCGGCCCTTCTCTCCCCTTTATTCTGCTAACATGGCAGATATATCCTCACCTGGATCTGTTGGAAGAAACGTGTAATATCTTGATCTGGCTGATTTCCAGAGGCCAGCATCCGACTTTTGTTTTCCATGAATTGCTGCAGCTTACCAGAGAGATGTTCAAACATCTCTGCCTGGGGCAGAAGCTTCTTTAGGGAGCTCTCCTTTTCTTGCTGCTGTAAACAGAGCTGTTCGAACCGCTGGCTCACCTCTGCCAGTTTGCCCTGCAGCACTGCTGCTGTGGTACTGTCTGCTGTCTCCATGAATCGGGTCACCATCTCACGGGTGGCCTCCAAGCTGCTCTTTTGCCGAGCAATGTCCTGCTTCAATTTCTGTCATGAAGAACACGTCTGTCAGCTCTTGGCTCACTTATTCCAGGACATCTGAGCCACAAACTAATAACTATATGCTATCTCACAAGGGGGACTGGAGGACTGCAACTGAGCCTTCAGAAGACCACACATCTCATCCCCTTAGCTCTCCACTCCTTCTACCACATGACTTTGCTATCACCACTTTCATTCCAGCTCAACTGGGTAGAAATATCTTTACATGGATTAGTTATCATTTCTAAATCTTATTAGATGATTCGCAGATGTTAAGTTCTCTCTTGTTACTTTTTTAACATTATATAATGATGGCACATAGCAAACATACCCTCTCCACTGGCTCTTGGGACACAGGTCTTACCATATTTGTGGCTAAGGCTTCCTGGATGACTCCTGATGAGAGTGATGCCACCTGCTTCCCTTCCAGGTTTTGTTCAACTTCCCCAATAGACTGTGACAGGCTCTCCAGGCTTTCCTGGACACTCTGAGATTGGGCAATTGCTTTCTGCAGCAGAGAAGATCGCTCAGCCAGGCTATAGGAGAGGCTTTGGAAGTGGCTGAGTATGGAATCTGAAAAATCAGGCCACGAAAAGAAAGAGTGGAGACAATTTTTGTATTATGCTTTTAAAGACTGTATTTAAATTGCTCACTTAAAATCTTTACTATTATCAATTTTTTTATAGGGATGTGGTCTCAATATGTTGCCCACGCTGGTCTTGAACTCCTGGCCTCAAGCAATCTTCCTGCTTCAGCCTCCTAAAGTGCCTGGATTACAGGCATGAGCCACCATGCCCAGTCCTACATTGAACATAGTAATTGTAATAATAATTGACATTAAGACCAATGGAAGAAATAAGCTTGAAATGAATTAGTATTAGAGCCAAGTTCAATAAGCATTATTTATTTACCGCATACAAAAAACCAGAAATTGTACTAGATGCTGAGGACTAAAGATACTTAAGTATCTTATCTGACATCTACAACTTAAAGACTTTGAAACAGAGCATAGGCAGAGGAAGACACATCAAAATCAATGATAAAAATAAAATCTTAAGTGGTATATTAATACTAGAAGTACTGTCCTTGAGAAGCCCAGAAGGAAGAATAATTATCTTTCGTTTCTTTTAAGGAGTGGAATGGCTAAGTCAAGCTATTTAACATACGCATTACCTCACATACTTATCAGTTTTTTGTGGTGAAAACACTTACAATATACACTCGTAGCAATTTTCAAGCATATGAGATATATATATA